GCACAGATGCTCAGACAGATGCAGCTTTTTCTGCTGAGCAACTCCCAATCATCCTGTGACACTGAAAAACAGCTCCCAAATTTCCACAGTTTGAGAGATCCATTTCAGAAAAGGCATTTTTTTTCATACTGAGAAGTAACTCCCTTTCAGAGGCAAGAGTAGCTAAGGCAACAAAAGCAGTAAAAGCCACAGCAATAAAAAATGAAGAATAAACTTGTAAAGTTTGATTTTATTGACGGAATTTATGCAGGTTTTAGGAGTAAGAATGTTTTCTTGCATCTATAACTGAGTTGTACTGCAAAATCTTGCAACCATCATAGAAATTAGGTTCAGGATTTATTGTATCGCATGGGCAAGCAAAGTAAGATGAAATGCCATCTCTAGCAAGATTCAGGTGATTTCGAGATTGGATAAATAAATAATGGTAGGTAGGTTGACTTTGCAATGTGATGCGATATGTAAGAGTCCACTTATTATGTAAGCACACTTAAAAAAAAGAGGATTCTGAGGGCAGTCCATCTAATTGCAATGCGTGCAAGGCCACGGTATTTGGAACAAGAGGCTCCAGTATGATATGATATGATAGCTCTTCTTACAGATTGAAATATTTGTTATGCATATTTCACATAAAACCTAAATTATTCTAGGCTATGTAGCAGTTAGAACATAAAAAAACAGCTTTTCTTAATGTTTAAAGAACAGGGAGTGGGATTCATTTTGGTTAATTTTACTTACAGGCTTTCTCAGTGGTCAAAAAGGTAATAGTGGTACTTCCAAAGAACAACTCATCCCACCTGCTCCAAACAGCTGCTGTTATTTCACTGATGTTAGAAGAAGTTTGAGCACCACGTGACACTAGATACCTAATTTGGGGTATTCAAGTTTAGGTGAAGTTAGTTCTTGACCTTGACAACTGACTTTATTACTTAAAGAGTTGAGTTCTCCATACATTGCACAACAGTGCAATAAACTGTCCCTGTGATTTCAAACTAGTCATTTAAATAGCTATATTCAAAATTAGGAGAGCATGTTGAAAAGGCTGACGTGTGTGCACCTTCCATTTTCTGTGTGCATAAAGTATTACTTTCCAGCCTCTATAAAGAGGTTTGAAATTCATGAGTAAAATGTGAAAGAAAATTGTGCAGTAGAATGGTTGTTTATTCAGCTTAAAGTGGAACCAAAGAGTTTCTGGGGAAAAAAAATCAACTGAATTTATTTAGAGTGCAAATGCACAGCATTTCCTCCAGACTAATGTTTTATGGTGAGTGAGGAACTGTCACTGCAATATAACTTCCAATAAGCCATCTCTTAGACTTGTGCCCTATCTTTGTGGCATACCAATGAATATCAGAATAGCCTGCGAGGCTATCAAGTTCAAATTAACACTACAGCCAATATTTTTTCCTGAAATGTGTTAGTGTCCTGATATTATTAGCCACCTCTGCTAGCCTCTGGGTTATCTCCCTTCTGAGGACCAACATCAAAACTGACTCTGAATATAAATGTTTTCTGAAAAAATAAAATATTAGTGGGAAAAGAAGAAACGTGCAAATCAGACAGTCACGTAAAATCAGTGCACGTCAAGAAAAAAGACACAAAGCCACACTTCATATTCACTACTTCTGCCAGACATTTTCCTCCATGCTCTGTGATTCAGTGCTTTTTACTGCTATGACATAGTTATTAGAGTGAAATTGCTGTGTGACATTGTCACTTAGGGCATCCAGATGACTAGTTCATCCTCCTTGGATGTTCTCTTGTCAATGCTAGGGAAACCTTTGCTATTCCACAGTCTTCAGGAGTAAATCAGACAAATGTAAGAACAACTCTATTTTGTTCCTCTGTGCTGATCAGGTTCAGAGCTTCTTGTGATACCCCTGGACAGCCCTAATGACCTGAGTTGTTGTCCTTTATCTTCCCTTTTTCCCTCCCACGTTCCTTCCCTTTACCACCCTCATCCGCTTCCAAACAAACAACTAGTCCCTGTGTATTTTTTTCCATTGGCCTCAGTTTTTCTGTTTTTGCATCCTTATTTGGTGTTTGTGGTACTGTTGCCCTGGTAATTTCTACCTTGGTTAGCAATTCCATTAAGATAGTTCCCCCACTGATGCTGTTTCTAAGGCTGCTATTCAGTGTAGCCTCAAGTCAAGGTTAGCCATCTGCATCTATATTTCTTCCTTCTTCCTTTTTACTATCAGTAATGCCTTGTGATTTCTGCTGTTGTTGTCTTTTGATTGTAGCTACAGGTCACATTTGACCATCTGCACACATACCCTAACACCCAGAAAGAAGCCTGGTCCAACTGCTGGTGGAAGCACCTGCTCCTTCTTCTATTTTGTCTGAATTACCAGAAACACCATCCTCAGAGCCAGTGACAGCTAGGGCTGCACTGAACACCACGCTTAGCCTCCTGCTCTCTGTTTACATAGAATAGAATCACAGAATGCTCAAGGTTGGCAGGGACCTCTAGAGATCATCTAGTCCAACCCCCTGCACACGCAGGGTCACCTAGAGCACGTGGCACAGGACTGCGTCCAAGCGGGTTTGAAGATCTCCAGAGAAGGAGACTCCACAACCTCTCTGGGCAGCCTGTTCCAGTGCTCTGGCACCCTCACTGGGAAGAAATTTTTCCTTAAGTTCCTGTGGAACTTTTGGTGTTTCAGTTTCCGGCCATTTCCTCTAGTTCTGTCGGTGGCCACCAGTGAAAAGAGGCCAGCCCCATCCTCCCCTCCCTTGAGTACTTCTAGACACTGCTCAGGTCCCCTCTCAGCCTTCTCTTCTCCAGCTGAACAGGCCCAGCTCCCTCAGCCTCTCCTCATAGGGCAGATGTTCCAGGCCGCTGAGACCACAAAACATGTGCACATATTCCAGGCCTGTTGTTGCATTTTTGGTATATAGCTCCATATTTCTTTTCTCCAAGACCGCACAATGATGTGGTTTCTGGTGACTTCTCTTCTTCCCTACTTAATATTAACTTATTCACTGGCCATGTGGGGAAGCTTCCTCAAAAAGAGTCGGTTATCATGGACGGGCTGTCTTCTCTCGGCCTGAGACCACAAAATGTGTGCACATATTCCAGGCCCGTTGCTGCCTTTTTGGCATATAGCTCCATATTTCTTTTCTCCAAGACCGCACAATGATGTGGTTTCTGGTGACTTCTCTTCTTCCCTACTTAATTTGAACTTATTCACTAGCCATGTGGGGAAGCTTTCTCAAAAAGAGTCGGTTATCATGGACGGGCTGTCTTCTCTCGGACTGTTCATTTCCCATTTATCCAGATTACCTTTGAGACAATGTGACCGTGAATAGCACTTGGTTGGGTGGGAACAGGACCGGCTGCATTAAAAGGGTCTGAGGTCTACACGGGAATTTTGTGCTGGGAAGATGCTCTTCCTATAGCCTGAAAGAAAGGAAGAGATCATAGGTTGTGTGCACCACCTAGCTGGCTTAATTCAGGAGAACACTCTAAGAGGTCCTCATGACAGCATACAAGGTCCCATGTAAAAGTTTCTTTTTAATATAGAAGCCAAAAAAGCAATTAGATGTCACTGTGAAACTGTATCTCATAGGTTTTTGTCCCCCAATTATTTTCTAGAGTAAAAAGTGGGAAGCTGTCATGTCTAATGTCCAAAGCAGTTGCTGCTTGTGTTGCCAGTCACCTTCATTCTGTATCTTCATCCATGGGCACTGCAGCCTGCACCTGTGGTAGCAGGCATTAGAGGTTATTTTTTTCCTAAGGCAGACATAAATTAACCCAATCATAAGGAAAAATTGTAGACGAAGTAAAAAGATGACATAAATAGTTTAATTTACCCAGCTTGCATTTCTCTGCCACAAGACCACCATGCCAAATTGCAGCCTTCCAGACACTAGCTACAAATCAAGCAAGTAAAAATACGATGATAATTATTAGAATTAAATTTCTCTGTCCACAATAAAATGCAACTCCTGTGAGATTCAGGTGATGCTTGATATGTCATAAGGCATAGCACCATGCTAAGTAATAAGAACTGTACAGCACTTTTTCCTGTAATAAAGAGAATTTGCACCTTGAACCTCATGATTTGTTTCTTATTGGCAGTTCAGTGGGAGAGTATGTGATAGTCAAGATAAAATATAGGATTCTTTGAGTCTAGGTTTGAATTAAATTCAAATTTTGAATGAGTGCAATGTTTGGCATGGCCCACCACTTCTGGAATGACGATCTGTAGCAAATTGATGATATTGTCAAAATAACAATGCTATGCAAATAGGATTTCTGTTCGGATACAATGAGAGGGATGAGCAGAGATTGTCTTTTAAGCTGTCCTGTCAGGCAAAAACAGCTGCCATAAGATTCAGCTTAGAGTAGTATTTTTATCAGACAAAGAGATTTAACAAATCACTTGGTAAATGTATTTAGAAGACCAAAATATGACTTGAGGATCACTAAATCACTTCATCACATGTTCTTTTTTTTAAAATGTAGCCTGTCTGCCCTGACTCAATTAACAGTTCTTTTTTTCTGTGAAATATTTTGCTTTTGGTACAAATAGCTGAAAAGAATGTTTAAAAATGCCCGTGGCAGTATGTATTAAGCACTTACTATTCCTAGGATCTTCTAAAAAATCCATCTGCTATGAAAATTAATACCTAAGAGTGATTTCTGAATGAGTATTCATAGAGTCATGATTCAGAAAAAAACAATTCCACCAGTTTCGGTAGGTTATAGCTTTTATTTGCTACTTAATCAATGAGGAGTCGTTTCCTGAACTGAGGCTTATTACACAGTACTCATTACAACTCAGAGTATCAACTCATTGGTTGCTTATTAACAGATTTCAGTTTTCTTTGCTCTTTTTCTCACCTCTCTCTGAGTTTAGATCTCAGTGATGGAAAATACTTTTGTTCTTTTAAGCATTTCTCCAGCTCAGATGATGTTGTTATAGGGCAAGATGACTTTTTCTCAGATGCTTTCAGGAGTGTGTGTCACTGATGACTCTTCATGTGCTGTACCCTAGTGCACCTGGTGGACATCTGGAATGTGATTGAAGCACTGCGAGAAAACGCCCTCAACAACCTGGATCCCAACATAGAGCTGAACGTGGCTCGCCTCGAGGCTGTGATTTCAACTATTTTCTACCAGCTCAACAAACGGATGCCAACTACCCACCAGATCAACGTGGAGCAATCCATCAGCTTGCTGCTTAACTTCTTGCTAGCAGCCTTTGATCCGTAAGTTTTGTGTGTTTCCTTCCTTTCCTGACTGGATGAAAGGGTTTTGTTTGCTGTGGAAATATCTTGGAAAAGCACTTGAACAAGCTAAAATTTCAGCCCTAAATAACAAAAAACAAACAGTTCTAGCTATTGTAACAGAAGTTAAAATTAAGGAACTCCATTTTTATTTTCTGTTGAGCCAGTCAGACCAACTCTTTTGTCCTCTAGTTACTCAGACTTGTTCCAGGTGTTACTGGAGAGCAATTGTCTATAGACACAAATGTGCTTCCTCTTCTAATCTATGTTGGTATTTATTGACAAACCAGTGGGTCACACCAGTGCAGTGGTAGTGTGACATGTAGCAGTGACATGGGTTAACAACTCATTATTTTGAGACAATTCTCTCTCCTTCAATTTCTTGCAGCTGTAGCAATTTTTTTCCTGCCTTATGCCAGAAAAAAACCCACATGCAGTATGGTTGCGAGTTCACAGCAGAAACAGGGTAAAGATCAGGAGCTGGCAGTGAAATTCATGTTGAATATTATTGCTTGAGACCTGCATTACATAAAGGAGGAGTCGAAGAGGGGGTGAGCTAATTACCTTCCAAGGATGCTGTGTATACATATTAGTGTTACTGAATACAAGGGCATCAGCCTACATTTGAAATCTGCTAAACCAAGTAATTGAGAGCAGCAGTTAAGTCTGAGAGATGCAGATTACCTATTACCTTTTTATGGTGGATATTTTGAAAACTAACCAGCTGAAAACACTGGCCATAAGGCATTATAATCAAGCTCCTTCCCTTCTGCCCTCCTCCCTTTTCCCTGTCCTCTCTCTCCATGGATTTCTTCCTTGGTATCTGGCACCTCTCGGAGCCAGATCACCCAGGCCGCTTTAGTCACCATGGCAACGGGTGAGCGAAAAAAGCGGTGGTTCCACCCGAGCGGCCGCGGAGGCCCCTGCGCTGCTGCAACCTCCCTCCAACCCCTCTGCGGGGGCAAAAACAAGCAGCCATCTGTGGAACTGTAGCCTTCAGGACGATTTTTGTCACCTCAAGGGCAGTGAAACAAGGCACAGGCGTTTTAATTTGTACACTTGTGGCTGTGACCGGAGCACTAAAGGACAAGGGATGTGGCTGGGCTCATGTGGTACAGGCTGCGAGCAGAGTGCTTCCCCACAGACAGGCACGGGGAAGGCCTGTGAGCACCGTAGCGGGATCTGGGATAATATGCTTGCTTTGTAGCTCGCTGTAATGGGGGTGAAAATGTCAGCTAGACGTCAAGGCTACTTACAACAAAATGGAGGAAAGGATTTTACTCCTCTGTGCTGAAATAGTGAGTGCACTTAAAAGGGCAAGGCTGTGCTTTTCCTGCAAACATCAAACGCTCTGTGTTTTGTGACCTATTTCTGGGCTCTCATCAGCAACGGCCGGGGGGTGAGGAGAATGTGACTCCCTCTCAGCTCTCCAAGCAGCTCCTGCTCCCGGCTCGCTGCCTCCGAGCTGAGCACAGCAGGCATTTCCCAGAAGGACAGAGAGACCCTCAGGGTTCCCAGGAAGAGGCCTTCAGCTTCACTGTCCAAGCTGTGATAGGAACGGGACGCGTATCACTCACAGCTTTAAATGCATGAGATATTGGTTGAGTTGGGATTCAACTGGGTTGAGATTTAGGTGCAGTCTAAGAGATCTATGTTCAAGTGTGTATGTGGAAGCTATGTGTCTTTATTCTCTTTAGAGTCAAAGAAAACTTACTTGGTATAGTCTGTTGAGCCCCAGAAGCAATTCAGCTCATCAACAGGGCTTGTCTTCGTGGCTGGCTTTGTAGAGATCAGTATCAGCTGGATCTCTCTTTGTTAGAATGGGATGTTGCCACCTGTCACAAATATGGACATATATCAGTGTCTGCCTCTCAAGAAGTGTGAATCTCACCATTAGTATGACCCAGATAATCTACATTTTGGATCAGGTATTCATTTAGCATGCAACCCAAGTCTTGCGTAGTCCAGATTTCCCAGTATCTGAGCGGGACGGCTCCTACGTGGTTAGAGAAGGTAATGTGAAAGCTGTCTTGGATCTATATGACATCTGTGCTCCCTATGTGCCCACTTGGCTGCTGCTTCCTGCAGTGGAAAAGAAAGGTCCTTCTCTGCTGAAAGCTAAAAGTCAGTGGAGGAGCAGCAAGGTGTTTTCTTATATTCTCAAGGTCACAGAGAAGCAAATATTGCACATGGGGGAAAGCAGGCATGGAAGCAAGAAGCTGAAGTATTTTTTTCATTTTCACTCTCTCATTTGGAGAAATTGGGCAGTTTCTGTAAAATTGCCTGTTCTCTTTTTTGATAAAAAAGAGGCACTAAAGTGACAATATTCACTCCTAAAATAATCCCATTACCTCTCTTGTTTCTTAACCTTATGTTTTTAGCAAATGGTTGCCCTCTCAAAATATGCTGTCCAAAGCTTTCAGGATGTTACTGAAAAATTATTTTTTCTGTTGCTATTGAATGTTAGTATGACCATATTTGATTCTATAAATTCAACCAGACAACAACAACAAAAAAATCAAAATAATAAAAAAAATGAAAACCAGTCTTCTACGGCCAAAAGAGCATGATAGCTCTTCAGGATAAATGGGAAGGCTGCTCTAAGTGATCACAGGCTGCTTTCCATGTTTGTGGCTATGCAGAGTGATACCTGCATCTGCTCTACCACAGGCAGGTCCCCCGAAGATTGGTGTTTCTTGCGTCTCATTTGAAATACAAAGAGGGTAACAGAAACGGAGGGGTTTTTTGGACTTAGATATTCTTATATGAAAGGTCTACCAGGGACAAGTTAATCCGTGATTCAAACTTTAATAAGCCCAGCACTTTCTCATTTCTGTAGCTCCTGTTAGTGGATATTGCCCTGAGTGGCTGTTCTAGCATTCAGTCTGCTAGTAACAGGCTGAAGATCCTAGCCCCTGCCTAGGAAAACTTGGGAGGAATCACAGCGCAATGCCATGGTGTATGGGCCAGCTTGCTCAATGTCCTGAAAATTCATCCCAATTTCAGGAACCCCAGACCTTAGGTTCTTAGGCTTTCAGATAACTATATCTTATTGCTGCCTAACTGAGAGAAAGAAATGGGGAGATTTCGTGTGACTTCGGATGTGATGCTCCACTCAAGCCTTCCTGTTAAACCAAAATGCAACCTTATAAAACTGAAAGTTAATAATATTAAAATTAATGAACAGAAATGCCATTCCCGTTCATTTTTTGTTAATCTGTGAAAATCTTTGTCACACAGTAGAGGAGCCTAATAGAAAAGACCAAACAAACAAACAAACAAAGCAATGAGAACAGGGTGAGAAGATTGGGCTTTCAAGAAGCTGGACAACAACACACCTAATTTACACATTTAGCTGCATATGTGGGCGGTAGTGTTTGCTTCAACGAATAAGGTTATTAACTGGGGTACTAAAGTAATAGCATATATCCTTCACACAATTACATATAGTAAGATGGCAAGTATGCAAATACAAACCTCTCAGAATTGCAGTCCAGGCCTTTGTCAACACCTGCCTAGCTGGCGGGGTGAAGTATCAGCCTCACCTACTAAAGCAGGTCCTAAAAGTCTAGTTTTAAATAGTCTATAAATATACTGTGTTAGATCATCTTTAGCACTTACTTACTATTGCAGTACCACTACTTTTGCTGCGAAGTTTAACTGACAGGGAGATAACAGATAATTTTCCCTGCCACTTGACATACTTGGGTTAAGAATGGAGCTACGAGCTCCAGGCTATGAAACTCACAAAATCCAAATACTGGAACTTGATTTCTACAAAGAAAAGATGAAATATCCATGCCACTTTTAAATCAAATGTACATTAGAAACCTATTGAAGTCAAAGTGTATGTAGAGATGTCACATGAAGGTGCAGTTATCTGCAATCTTCTAGAATCAGAAGATACACCATGCACTTAGGAAGGAAGGTGTACACACCAGAGGGCTGTGCTGCCGTTGAGAGAGACTTGGATAGGCTGGAGAGTTGGACAGGGAGGAACCTCATGAAATTCAGGAAAGGGAAATGTAGGGTCTTGCACCAAAAGAGGAAAAATTCCATGTACCAGTACAGGTCGGGGGCCGACCTGCTGGAAAGCAGCCCTGCAGAGAGAGACCTTGGAGTCCTGATGGACAACAAGTTGAGCATGAGCCACCAAAGTGCCCTTGTGGCCAAGAAGGCCAATGGTGGCCTCAGGTGCCTTAGGAGGAGCATTGCAGCTCGAGGAAGGTCATCCTGCCCCTCTGCTCAGCCCTGGTGAGGCCACTTCTGGAGTCCTGTGTCCCATTCTGGGCTCCCCAGTACAACACAGACGTGTTGCTACAGGGGAGAGTCCAGCACAGGGCGCAAAGATGACCAGAGACGTGTTGCTACGGGGAAGAGTCCAGCACAGGGCGCAAAGATGACCGGGGAGCTGGAGCATCCCTCATGCAAGGAAGGGCTGGGAGAGCTGGAACTCTTCAGCCTGGAGAAGAGGAGACAGAGCGGGGAGCTTGTCAGTGTGTACAAATATCCTGAGGGTGTCTAGAGGATGTGGCCAGGCTGTTTTCAGTGGTGGCCAGCAACAGGACAAGAGGCAAGAGGCACAATTGAAACATAGGAAGTTCCATATGAATATGTTGAGTGCCTTGGTCTTGGAAGTGACCTTTGTGTTTATCTGTCTGTTTGAAGCTGCGGAGTGTTTAATTCCCTCTTCTCCACCTTTGCTGTGTGTTGGATGTGACACAGTTTGGCTGGCCTTTAACAAAGAAGTCCTGCAAAAAGTGCATTTCAGGGGTTTGCTTTTTCCGTACTGAAACCTGTTTGTAAAAAAAAAAAAAAAAAGCTTCTGACAATTTCCTGCCATAATTAAGGTGGGTGGTAGGAGTCCCACAAGTAACCAAAGAAATTCTGTTACTTTTGGAAAAGATAACATAACTTAAAGCTGGAGGAGCAGCAGGGAAAACTTTATACTTTGTGCCTAGTTAATTAAAAAAGTTATTTTCTCAGTGCGAATTTAATGGGCTGAGTTAGCTATTTGTAAAGACATGGTGTTATCTCTCTATAATTTCCCCGCCAGGTTTTCACTTACAGCAGTCTCAGTATGCGTATTGCTGGAAATCTTTGCAAGTTCCAGTGTTATTTGGTATCGCCCTTATTGCTGAACTAAAAGGCTACATATCTAACCCCCAAATTTGGGGTTTTGACCTTAACTAGTCTATGGATTCTGTCAGACAGTCCATAGCGTTTCCTAGCTCTGGAGAAAGCCTGTCCCAATCTATAGGCATACACTTAAACAGGAAACTGTCTACTCTGCTGTAGTGTCTAAAAGCATATATCATTTTTTGCCCTTTTTTTTTCCTTTTTGTCCCAAACAGTGGGAGATAACCTTAGTGCTCCTGCCACCATTTGCTTTGCTCAGTACTCTGCCCCATGTTGCTGCTAAGTGCCTATGGACTGCCAAGATTTGCCTTTGCTACCATTAATGCAACTAGTGCTTTTCTCTAGGGGTCTGAAGGTAACCTCAGTGTGAGAGGTGCTATATAAAACCAAAGTACCTCCTTTCCTCTCCTATTCCCACTAGTCAAATTTGTGTTTCTTTGCATTAGCCAGCCCAGAGCTTCGCTCAGGGAGCGCTGAGTTCAATGGGGAGCTGCATGATGCTGTCAGCCACGGCCTCAGCATCTGCTTTTATGTCAGTACTTACTTCAGTAAAGCAACCAAGCCCTGCCAGTCAAGGTGATCTGTAGTGCTTAGCAGTAGCTTAGGGCATTTCTGGATCCGAGTGTTACTGGAAAATCTTAGGCCCCAGTATCCTGCTTATTCCTCACTCATATATGCTTCTACATGCATGTGTGTATATGTATGCACACAACCAAGCATGCACATATTTCTCAGGGGCAAATTGAATGCTGTCTTTAGTGATGGTTTTATGAATACGAATGGCTGACACAAAATAGAGTGTCAAAACTAACCAACTCAAACAAGAGCGCTTGAAGAGATAAATTAAATCTTCGCTATTTCTATTTCTCTGTTCCATAACTGTTTGAGTGTGGGAAAAAACGATGGCTCTGGGGTGGAAAGCTGAAGGCGAGTTCATGAATCTGCCATTCGAGAATGTTTGTTAGTAAATGTACCTGAACCTACTGGGAAAAATATCTAAATCTGAAATACTTCCATATGGGCGTAACTTCTTCATCCAGTTCTTTCATTTGCAATTGCTTCCACTGAGCATTTATTTTTCTGAACACTAACAACTCTTTTAAAAGCAGGTAAAACCTTATGGTATACACTGAGTGCAGAAAATTTCCCAAAGACCTAAAGGTTTATCATGCACTAAAAGAACACAAAAGGACCCAATTCTCAGCCATAGCTGCAGCGCTGCTGAGTGCCAGTTTGCACAAATGAGAATCTAGCCAGTAAAGAAGGCAAGTACAAGAAACTGAAATAGATTCGAGGTTTTTTATGATTTTAGTCTTAGGAAGTAATGAAAAAGAAAATGCACACCAAGCCCAGCATTGAAGAACATAGTAAAAACAGTAGATATGTATTCCTTAAACACTGAATTTATTCCTTTCCGTCTGCATCTCCAGTTGATTTTCTGACGAAAAGCAGATTTTTAAACGTATATAAAAATATCTAGAATTAATATTTAGAATCCTGTGCTACACTGAGCTGGAACTAAATCCAGTCCACTGAATTGTAAACACTATTAGCTAGCCAAGCTTAGGGAATGGACTCGTTTTGTAAAGTCTGAGCGACTTAGAGCAACTGCAGCAGTGAAGCATGTAGCATGTTTTAATATACCCTAATGAATATACGATGCATCTCTGCTGGGTGTGCTACTGTGTTAGCCTGCTTTGAGATAAGCAGAGAGATGCAGTCAAAGGCTTTGTGTCTTCGCAGAATCAGTTATCTTTTAGTCCTGATCCGATGCTATTTTCTTCGTTAAAATTACAAGTGACAAGCAACAGAGTAATTACATAAATATTGATGAAGAGGTAAATTTCCATGCATTGTTGTTGCCGATGCTGATGCAACTAGAGAATCTTGTGCAATGCATGATTGTATCTATTTTAATTGGGAATCCCTTATAAATATAATGTTGGAATAGAGCCTGAAGGTCACAGAAACTCCTCTTCCAAGCAATGACACAAAATCTCATCATCTGGTCCTGTTATTAGCCCTAGCAGTAGGATCTGAAGGGAGAAGTGGTTGCCATTGGGTTAAGCTGGCAGATACTGGCTGACCATGCGTTTTCTAAAATCATGGAGACAGCGTGTCCTCTATTAGATCATGAAATGGACATATGCAAAGCTATTAAATAATGCTGAGTTTGAAAGATAAACAAACGTTGCTCCAGTGCCAGTGTTGACTGTGACTGCCTTATAGGAAAACTCTGAAAACTCAGAAAAAAGAAGACCCACATACTTCAACATTTGGATGCCAAAAAAAGATATTAAAAAGCAGTGAACTTTAGAGAACATGTTGTTTTTCACCTTCTGAAAGGGACTGACCATTACAGTATTTTCATTCTGCCATTCTTGTGAACACTGCACTTAGTTTTGCCTAAGCCAAAGGTGTAGGTCTTGTGGGAGTTAGGAGTGCCTTGCACTGTGTGATGGAGTATTTTACTGGTGCAGTTAGAATATAGCAAGATTTCTAAGATTTCTACAGTGGCAGATAGTCACTGGGCTCCCTTTGGGCTATGGAGAGAGGATGGGAGGAGATGGCGAGAGGAGCGATGATGTTTTGCTATTGCACACTTAACCTCGATGAATGAAGAGCTCAACAATGTGTTAAAGGTAACGGTGTCCTAAGAGTGCAAAATATGGTCTAATGCTTCCATGAGGAGAAAAAAAAAAATAATGTCCTGTGTGTATCTGAAGTTGAATATGCTAATAATGCTATTTATTTTAGGTTGAAAGGTTTAAGAATGTTATTTGCTTCCAGTTGAAAATAGCAAACATGCAAGCCAGAGGAGAGGCCGGTCATAGCCACAATTTGACCACACTGGGGCCTTTCTGCATGTCGCAGCAAACACCTTTTGCTCGTTCTGGATGCAGATTCATTGCCCACTTTTCAACAGAATTCTTGCAACAAGTTCGTAGAAGTCATGTGTACCATTTGAAAGTCAATTAATAGGACTTATTAAGGAATACAGTAGCCAACGTGCAATCGTGTGATTCTGCTGGGTGTTTTTTTCGTTGTTTTCCCCAGGGTTTTGACTTTTTCACTCATTCTAGGGACAGAAGGAGACAGGTAGGGAAGCTGTGATTATGACATATGCTGCATGTTCCCACAAACAAACTGATTTTGAAGGTCCTACATCTTCATGGGTGAATCTATGTGTAGTGTGCATTACAAAATGTCATGTCAATGATAAACACTTTAAATGGAATTTTGTCCTTGTTACAAAATATAACGACTTTCTACTGTTGAACAGGGAAGGACATGGTAAAATTTCCGTTTTTGCTGTCAAAATGGCCTTGGCGACTCTTTGTGGAGGAAAGATCATGGACAAATTAAGATGTAAGTCTTCTGGGGGGCATATTTACCTGCTATTCACTGTTATACTTGAAGAGAAAACAGTGCAGGTAAGTAAATGGAATTATAGTAACTTAGTTTCATAGCTGGGTTTGAGATTTGAGTTAGCTCAGTAAGTCCAGCTAATTGTTTGCCTGAGCTTCACAACAGATTTTGGAGTTTTGAATACCGATCACATGTATTCTAGTTCTAATTGGTGAAAAATGGATTTTTTTTCTTCAAGATGATTCAGCATTTAGTCAGGTGTCTGAGGTATTCAACCTCATGAAGCATCATTTAGCAATTACTTCAATTTTTTTAAAAAAATCTCTCATTTCACACTTAAGAGTACAATATTATTCTGCCCTATTTATATTTCTCACCCTTGGGCACAAATTAGTTCCATGTATTCTCCAGAATGGCTTCTCATTTCACAGGGTCTGTTTCTAGTTCTCAAAGACAACAGTTTAGATGGAGCAGCACTTTTCTGATTAGTGCTATCATGTCTTGAGCTTAGGTCCAAAACACCTTTTTCTGGACATTTTGACTGAAGGATTAATGTCAGCTTTCAGCCTCCTCTGAGCCTTCTTCCACAGGCAGAGGAAATTAAGAAGTTTACAAACTGGTGTTGATTGAATTTGACAAGTAGAGTTTCCTAGATGCTAATTTAGGCTTCCAGGTTTGGTACCCTTTTTTAGTATGCTATTTCTAGGTAACTCTTCAAATATAGAATAGTGTAAATGAACACAGTTTGTTCTCTAGGGCCATTTAAGAACAAGGAGACAGGTCTATCCGGTGGAAGACTGGGTTATGATGCTGAATTTCTGGCAGTGGTTCCAGGGTCTTGTCTTTAGAATAGTTGTTGCAGGTTCATGGATGGAAGACATTGCTTTGAATGAGTTGCATGAATGAGTTAAATAATGCCAAAGATCTTCTGTTTCTCGGGTGTCCAGACAATAAATAACTTAATGAACTCACTGGCAAGATTTAGATGTGGTTAACTGGCAATAGGCAAGAAGTTGGTGCTGCATATCCTGTCAAATTATATCCCCCTGCCTTCCCTGATTGAAGAACTGCCTCATGCAGCGCATCAGACTTCACTTGAAAAGAATGACCACATGCAACATAAGAAACAGGGATATTTTAATGCTAAAATAAGCTAATTTATTCTATTTATTGTTCTCTTTGATTTCTGTTAAGCAGGGTTAAATTAAAAATACAGAAGTACTGTGTGTTTCCATAAGGAGAAATTGTTTATTGCTTTTGGTTCAAGTCAATATGATTGAATTTAAGAGCAAACCTATAGCTTGAACTGAAGTAGTCTTCTCCTTTTCTTGTCTTTTTTTCTCTTCAGATATTTTTTCGATGATTTCAGACTCCAGCGGAGTGATGGTTTATGGCAAATACGACATGTTTCTGCGGGAGGTTCTCAAGCTGCCCACTGCTGTTTTCGAAGGGCCTTCATTCGGTTATACCGAGCAATCAGCAAAATCCTGTTTCTCCCAACAGGTAAAGGGAGAGCAAACATCCTAGATAGCAGCTGTCAGTCACACCTCTGAGCAGACTCTGACCCTGCTCCTTTCTCACACCTCCGTGCGTCGTCACTCAGGAGATGCATGAGTGGGTGACATGGAGATTCCCCATGTAAATATTTGGGAGAGAGGGACTTAGCCAAAAAAATGATTTAGAAAGGAACCTGCCTTAGATGTTGCTAAGTTAAGGAGCCTGAGGAAACTGTACTCCTAATTTCAACACCTGCCTTTGATTCTTACCTGTAGGTGATGGGAATGCCCCAGGGCATGCAATCCTTCACTGCAATCAGCTGCTGTCCTTGCAAGCACAAATGAGGCTTTAACTTTACCATATTAAGCCCAACTCTCATCAAAAATCAAGCTACATTTTTTCAAATGAGGGGCTAAACACACAGGAAGTTTGGCAATGGATAGAAATTTCTCTCTTATCTCTTTGCTGAAATGAGAATTGGTAGGCAATGCAATCATTTCCCAAATAATTTTAAGTAGTAGTGCTGGCATATTTCAAGATGATCTTGTTCCCCAGAAGCAGATTTAAACCATTACATTGAGGAATTTATGTAGTAAAATGACTTTTGATCGTTTCATGTTGAAATAATGAAACAGTACTTTTGCTTGGCAACAGAACATTTGAACCTTGAACATAGACATCATATTACTAAAAATAAGAAAGCAATTTCTCCTTTTTTCTTGGAAAATGTCATTCAGGCTTCGCTTTCTATCTAGACAGCCATCAGAAAGGGCACTTTCCTTGACCTTTCCTCTAAATGACAGCAAATATATGAAGCTACTTTAAGAAACAAGTCATTCCCAAGCAAGCACTAGATGACTTGGTTCACAGTCTCCATGTAAAGCTAATTAGAGCTGGTTTTCTAACTGGTGCAGATACAGAGCGTATTTACAAAGAAACCGGTTTGCATCTGTAGGCAGCCAAGAACTTTTGTAAATCTAGACTACTATTTCACTTATATTCACTTAATTTAATTCTCATAATGTGATCTACCAGGCATAAACCAGAGTTTTGAAATCAGACTAAAAACCATGCCCCTATGACACTGTGATAAACGATACCCAGCAAGTCTTAGTCACCCATAAGTCATTCAGTCTTACATATCATGCCTGTCATTATCAAAAAAATGATGCCTTGGAATAAGTTCGACACCTCCTTTGTTGTTCTAAGCATTCATGAAATTCAAGTATTCTAGTGGAGTTCTTTTGGTTAGAAAAAATAGAAACAAATATCACAGATTTCTGAGTACAGAATTTTTCCTTCCATAGTAATGTTCGAACAGATTATTGGTACTGTGGTTATTCATGGAAAAACTTGTGTATCTGCTTCCCAACCTGGACCGTGCCCTCATTAGAACAGAACATTTGCTCATACACGTAGTGACTGAATACACACAGCCTGCTGCGTGCATGAGACCTCTCAAACACGTCTGTGATTTGCTTTTGCTAGCAGAGTATTTCAGTGCACCCTGAGTCAGGCTGGATCTAGTCAATGTCCCCCCTGGAGAGAAAGGGGCAGTGAGTGGGTTGCTCAGGTACCCCTTTGGTTTGCTCTCAGTGTGGATCACTTTTGCCCAACAAATGCCTTTCAGCCCTCTAGCATGTAGATCAGTGAGTGGGTTGCTCAGGTTTGCTCTCAGTGTGGATCACTGTTCCCCAGCAGATGCCTTTCAGCCCTCTAGCATGTAGATTCCTCAATTTTCAGGAAAAAAAAAATTCTGTGAATGATTTTCTGCTCAGCGTGTCAAATCTCTTTCAATTTGCATTCTGTTTGCAGAAATGTTTGGTTGTTTCCCATTGCACTGATTTATTTGATTAAACCATGTATTTTCCTCTCTCTGTGAACCACTGTTAGGGGTAATGATTGTTCAAAATAGAAACTGCAATGTTTCCTCATAAGCAAATTTATGGAACCGAAATGCCAGAACAAGTGATTTAATGTTTCAGAATAAAGATCTGGGTCTCAAAAAGGAATTTTATAGCCACCACTTTCCCCCATGGATAGAATGAATGTGATACGATATTGCCTTCATACTAAAAAGTGTTGTTACAATAGAAAATTCTTTTTCTTTCTCTCTCTTTTTTTTTTATCCTAAGCTAAAAAGATAGACACTAACGTCATTTTGTTATCACTTGGCTGAGTGTTGCCCCACAAACCCAGACTCCATCTGCATGCAGAATATATTTAGAAAACAGCTTTCAGTTTCAACTTTCTCAGTAGCTGATAAAAAGCTGAAGGAGAAAAATATGCCTTTTATAATGCATGGAAATTACTCTGCTGATGTCCTTTTAAGGGATGCTGCTCTCTGTGATCCGTAAAATCAGTGACCACCAATGGAATTTGGCCATAAAACTGTCAGAGAAGCCCAGTTGCTTTATTTAGTGCAAATCAGGTTTTCAATTATAGCTGCACTGAAAAGTTAATCCATTGTGGAAGGGCTGTCTTGTCCCCCCATTGCTTGTTAGAGCAGGTCTGTGCCAACTTCAAGAGCAGGACAGACTTCAGGCTGCTCTTTGCAATAGGGGACATTGGATGACCCTTCCTTTCCTAATTTTAGTTTTGCCTTTTTGCCCTCAGTTTTCAGTTCTGCTGCAGACAACATTGACATTGCTGAATGGCAAGGGCCAGTAAAGCCATGCCCAACAGCCGCTCTAGATCCCCACCAGAAAGATCCTTTTCTGTGAGCTGATACTTACAGCGTAGGATTCTCATTAGGGAAATGTTTATCCACCCGCCAAAGATGGGCAGACCATTTGTATGAGAAGCAGATGGTCGCTATTCTGATACTACATTGACACAGGTTCATATGTGGGACTGCTACAGCTTTGATATTACTCTTACAAGACTAGTGCATGTTTGGGATTTCATACTGCAGATTTTGTGGGAAAATACAGTATTTCAACAACAACAAAAACTAATATTCTGGCTGTTTCTGTTCATTAAAATTCAAGAACACTGATCATTATAACTAGTCTGAAGTGTCTCTTTTTAAGGAATTTGTCTATATTTCTCAATTTCCCAATAATTCCTTCCCATATTTCAACCCTGAAACTGTTACAGAGTGAGATGTTGTCCAGTGATCCCTCCATGTGTAAAAACAATGATTTTCTTTGTGTTTGGCTGCATTTGTATATAAATGCTGTAAACCCCTATCTGGAAATCTAAGCTCTTAACAGCACTCCACAACACAGAGTTGATACCTGTTTCTGCATAGCTGCTGTATTTTATTTCTCCTGGGATAATCACATTGCTTTAACAAATTAAAGCAGCATCTTGTGCAATCAGATATGAAAATGTAGCAATCTCTCTAGATATGAGCATGCTACTTAAATATTTATGTCTATAAAGTATATCTGTAGACATTCTCAATAGGGGTCAATTTTTTATATCTTAATTCTAGCTGCAGGTTTCTTAAGGACTCTCCATCCTTGACCAGCCAGTAACTGTGTTTTAGTACATGCTACGTAGCCAGCATATCACACAGAAAAGAGCAAGTGTGGGTGGTGGACATATCGGGATGAAACATCACATATGTCTCAAGAAACAGCTGCACTAACATTTGTGATGTATTTTTCCAAGCATCCAAGAAACCTAAGCTATTGGATTCCACTTTTAAAATCAACAGGGATGTTTTAGAACTGAAATCTCTTTTCAAGACAATGGGGTAGAGGCCTTTAAGTGCCTAAGGGTACAACACATCATGAACAGTCAAGTCAACTTCAGTCCCTTTTGTGTGTATGCAAATGCTTGCAATGTCCCACAGTCAGAGCTCACCCAAGACCATTTACCATGGCTCCACAGAGCCAAAGTTGTAGTTGCTTAAATCACACCAACTCATTCTCCTGTGGTGGTCTGTCCATACCCAATTTTGTTTCTGAAGTTATACCTCCTGGTCATTATTTTCTTTCATTTTCTCTGTTGGAATAGTATCAGTCATTGTTTGTAGGAATTTGAAAATTGGCTATACATAGCAATACCTAATGCACATATATTTGTTATTTAGTACTCAAAACATTTAAGAACGAGAAAAATTGAATGTGACTATTATTCAGAAAGGATCTTTAGGTAATGACTTTAGCAAATAAAAGCTAATTGTCACTATCCCAGCCTCATGACAAGGACTGCTAGTTATCATTAATATACATTGCAACTATTAAAAATAGTGTGTAATGTCTTTGTTAATATCAACTATTCTTTTTAGTAAAGCAAGTGGGTTTTTTTTTGTAAGAACAAGCTAAAATCATTTTGTCTGATTACTATTTTTTGTGTGTTTGTTTGTTTATTTGAGCAGAAAAAGGTCACATTAAACACTTTCTTGGATACTCTCATGTCTGATCCCCCGCCACAGTGTCTAGTGTGGTTACCACTTCTGCATCGACTGGCAAATGTTGAAAATGGTAAGTAACAGCTGCTGCCCAAAATGGTAAGAGTAAGTAAAGATTTTGCAATGTTTTTCTCACTCTATGGGTATTTTTGTAGGAGCTACTGTACTGGGGTTGTTGAATCCATGTGTCACTTTTAAAGTTAAGGGTAAAACATTTAAAGAATCCCATTGGTGGTTAAGCCAGGAATGTGGCTTATTTTTTTCTATTCTCCAGAAATTATCCTGACCACATCCTCTTCTCCTGTGCTTTGGATAAGCAAAGAAATGCCACACTTACATTTGGCAAATAATCAAGGTGATAGGATTCGATCCATGCGCACACTTACATTTGGCAAATAATCAAGGCCACAACTTTTATTAGCTATGACATATGGCGGTAGAAAAGGAGCAGCTTGGCACTTTCTGTTCATGCAATATACTTGGCAGGAGAAGTCCAGCACAGTGTAAAATAGTAACCAAAGGTCCTTGTGAAGGATCCCCTCCTAACTGCCACTCAGAAAAGGAGCAAGGAAGTTCCAGATTCCTCTATCTTTTGCCCTGTGGAGGATAAAGACTTGCCTGTCTCCTTCTGCTCAAGTACTTTCCCTCTCCAAAATGAGTGAATATGTGATTTACCCAAGAAGATCAACTGCTTTGATTACTGCATGGTGCAGGTTGCATGTCCCTGGACAGGAGCATCTTTCTCAGCTTGCAACTCCCTCTGGAGCCCCTGGGGAAAAGTCATCTCACACGTTCATGACTGTAGAGGCCCTGCAGCCAAACCTTCATGGCATGTTTCTGTTGAAGGCCATGGTCCATGTTACCCCATTGAAACTGCAGGGGCAGAGCTAGAAAACCGCTGGAACTCATTGCAGTGTGTGTGTGTGACATTTACACAGAAAATGTAAAAATATTCATGTTAAAATATTAATTTAGAAATATAAGTAGGTTTTTTTTATATACAAACAATTTGGCTTCCCCGTGTTTTGCTGCAAAGGTTGTGTGAGCTTGAGTAGGGTGCTTGTTCAATATTCCTGGCTTGTTACTCCCTTGAAAGTTTACCTCCAACATAACTGAAGTTTTGGGACACTGTGGGGAAAAAGACACCTGGATAGCAGGCAGGAAATGTCATATATACCCCCACTGATGGAAAATAAAAATAGTTTTATTGTACTACCAACAAGAATATGGGGCTATATAGGAAAGTGGGGGTGCCTAGATATTTTCTTGGTGCTGGAAGGATGAGAAGGAAGTTGTATGCAGGTAGCAAATCATCACTGTAGTCAGTGGCAACAAGGTGAGTAGGATGATGTTGACAACTCCTTTTTGTCCACAATCCCAGCTGCCAATCCCACCTTCCCTAAGCTCTTCTCATCCATCCCTGTCCCCCACTGGTTTGCCACCGTTTCCCACCTCTTTGTGCTTCAAAATCCTGGCAGGGAAATGTAAACCTGACACACTCTGCACTTACCACAGATCCTTGCAGATGGAGCCCTAAGACAGAAAAACAGACTATGCTCGGGAGAAAGGAGATGTGTGGTACCCCTTGGTAAATTTGGTACATGCTGTAGTGAGGAGAGAGGAGGAGAAGGTATTGCCAGGGTTCAAAACTGTGCGTGGTGGAAAGAGTCACTGAGCAACTTCCATACATAAAAAAAAAACCTTAATAAATCCACTCGAGCTCTCACAGGGCCGTCTCTGGGGGTCAGGCTGACACTGGTTGCCCAAAGTTGCCGTGAGGAAGGAGCGGGTTCGCTGCGCCGCGGGGGCTCTGCTCGGGAAGCGCGGCGTCGCCGCCGCCCGCCTCACGGTGCCGTGTCTCCCCGCGCAGTCTTCCACCCCGTGGAGTGCTCGTACTGCCACAGCGAGAGCATGATGGGCTTTCGCTACCGCTGCCAGCAGTGCCACAATTACCAGCTCTGTCAGGACTGCTTCTGGAGAGGACACGCCAGCGGTTCCCACAGCAACCAGCACCAGATGAAGGAGTACACGTCATGGGTAAGGCAGGCCCGCGCCGCGCTCCGCGTCCACCCCGCGCGCGGCCGCTGGCAGCCCCG